ACAAAAAAAACTGTTAGTTAGTTTCTTTTCGTTAAGAGATCATTCTGACCTTCAGTGTGATCAGTATTTATCTTCGTCTCCTCTCTATTTTCATTCTCCTCACAAAAACGTCTTTCCCTGCAGGGAACGCAGGTAAAATCTTCTCCCCTGCAGAGTGCAGGCAGAAAAACATTCTTCTTTATCTGCCGGCCGTTAGTGGAAATTTTTTTTATTCACCTGCAAACTGCAACCTGCCTGCACTGCCTGCAGTTTACCATGCAGGTGATCAGCTCTGTTCGGAATCAGCATGATCGCTTACCTATCCCCCACTAGGTTTCGTCTCAAAAGTGATTGGACAGTTGGTGGATCTCCCTTGTCAGCTTCTGATATGCAGAGCGGATCACAGGTTAGGTCATTTTATTATGTGATCAGATGTTTGTCATGTAGTTGAAGTAGGTTATCGATGTTTTGTTTTCTACATATTTAAGATCAGTTAGACCAGATTTATTGTTTTATTTTTTTCTATCCTAGAAGAGGGATCATCTATCGAAAAACCACCAGTGTCGTTTAATTGTTTATGGGAATACAAATCACTTTATAGTGAGAAATGGTATGAATTTTCTGCTAATGAAAGTTCACAATTAAATCAGGCATTATCAACAACCGATGGATCCTTCGAGACAACATTTTATTTAGCAACACAGCAGCAAAATAAATGCGGTATATCAATGATGAAACTTTTAAAAACCGATGATAATGATTCGGACGCTGACAGTCTATCATGGGTTCGATGTAAAGGTTCAAGTGTCTACAATTACAATATACTGTCATTTTGGCAAATGATGTTAATTAAACATCCATCAATGGTTGGAGAAATCGGCAAACAAAGTTCGGCATCACTTCAGTTTATTCAAATACCAAATATATTTGATGATAAAAATTTTCAATATCAATTACGAACATGGTATAATTGTCAACCGCTAACAAATGATCTACTCAATTGTGCAATAGATAATCGATTGAGGTATCTTGTAGATAATCAATTATTTTTTAATAATGAAAAAATTCACTTTAATTTACAAACATTCACATTTAAAAATGATAATCAAACAATTGAAGGCTATTTAAGATGGTTGCCAAAGTTTGTTGCTATAGATCAAAACACAAAACATATAATATATATTGATAATAGTTACGAGCAATTGAATAATGTACAAGACGCTGTACCGTTAACATTAAAAATTTTACAAAATTTACAATCCTTAAGACGCCAAAATACGTTAAATGAAGAGGATACAGATGATGGACAAACTACAACAACGACAAACGACACGGAAGAAGTTGTTGTCAATGGTATTGATGTAACAATTGGTGACAATCATGGACATGGACATGAAAATACAACTGATCTCAACGATCAACAAGACGATAATGAACAAGAATCAAAGAAAACAAAAGGTGATACCGACGATTTGACATGGAAGGAACCGGATGTAAACGACATACCAGTATCAGTCGATAATGCCGATGTGCTTAACGATGAATTGAAAGATAAGAAAGGCGCATACGAAAAGGCTAATGCAAGTAGTGCTTATATCGATAAAATAATTAAGGAAAAAGAAAAAAAATTAAAGAATATTGAAAATATACAACAGTCACCAAAACAGACGTTAATGGAATCATTACTCTTATCAGCGTCATATGAAATAAAAGCAGAATTTAGTAGTTCGCAACAACAATCAGAACAAGTAAAAATAGATGAATATAGACGCGAAATTGAAAAATTACAAAAACAAAAGGAAGAATCAGATAAAATTAAAAACGACCGAGATCAAGAAATGCAACAATTAAGAGCACGCTTAAGAATAATTGAAATGGCAAAGGAATATCAAGAAGAAATTGAAAAAAATTTAGAAACAATTGAACATAAATTACCTAATAAAGATTATTTACCAATCTATCCTAATACAATACAAACATTGCTACGAACACTTCTCAATAAGAGTAGTGTTGGTGCGAAAGATATTGTTAACTTTATTACTGTTGGTAAAAAACGTGATCCACAACAATCAACACAAGATATATATATTGTTGTTGGTTTTCATCAACATCATAAAGAAATGAATCTCATTAATCAACGTATAAATAAATTGATATTAATAATAAAATCAATACAAGAATATTATGAATGTTATTTAAATAAAATAATATCAAATTTATTAAAAAAAAATTGTTGGCCTATTAAATGTCAGTTGAATGAAATTACACAATATTGGAAACAATATTTGAAAATATTTGAAAAAATGTTACAAGATGAAAAAATTAAATATTGTAAAGAATTTAGTGATATGATTAAACAAAAATGTCAAGATATAATCGACTTATGTATTGGAAATAAATCAAATTGGTCACAAATCCCTTACAATGAAATGCGATCTTATATTCAATCAAAAGCATTTGAAATTGTTATTGAAGAATCAAAACGACAAGCATTTACACAATTTATTGAAGAAATAAAAGCTAAATTAGAAATACAGGCCTCAGCTAATGCACAGAAAGTGAGAGGTAAGAAAGTAGTGGGCAATCCCGTGGATATTAGGTAAAAAAATGAAAGTGCGCTTTTTCGAGATTCAGATAGTGGCAGATATAGTTTAAACTATGGGCTATTGGATGGCAAAAACAGTTTGTTCCAGACGCCATAGTTAGTCGGAAAACATATAAATTTGATATCATTAAATAAAGCATTCTCCGATGTATTCGAAGGACTATCCCAATCTAAAAACTGTTCAAGTTCGATATTTAGCCAAATGTCCACTCGGATGCACACTAGAGATGTACACGAGTACCGTTTTCGTCCTCGTACCCGACCCGATCCGAGAACTTCATATTCGTACCGGTTCCGTACCCAACGTATGCCTAGAAATTTTCTTCTTTTCGTTTTTCAGCTAAAAACGTTTGTTTTTCGACTGGAGATGACAAATTATCATTACGTTCTCAAGTAACTGTTTTTTAAAACTTCATGTATTTTAGCTAAAATCTTGTATTTTTCCACTAAAATTTTGTGGTTTTCCACTGAAACTTTCCGATTTTCGGGTAAATAAAAAGGAACGAAACCCGTACTCCTAACTGCTCTACCCGTACCCGTATCCAGCCTTCGGGTCGGGCTGGGTAGTACATCTCTAATGCACATGATGCCCAGCTACACAGTAGGCATTTTTCTATAGACCAGGCAGACATGTGGTTTTTCAATTTAAAAAGTGACTATTTTTGCTCAGTACTACTTTACTACGTTTGAAATGTTATTGTAAAACAGAAAAACCCGAATTCGGAAAAAAATGCTTTTAGACGAAAAATCGCTGAGGAGGACCGTTGCTCAAATTTTTTGTCGAAAAACTTTTTATTCAGAAAATACGTTATTTGATATAGTTTTATGCGCTGATTTCAAATATGAAATTACTTTTCAATAAAAGCATTTCTCAGTTGTGCAAAATGGATTTTATCTCAAAAACCAAGAGCTTGTTGAAGAACCCTTATCTAAGTCCAAAATAAAACCACATGCACCGTAGATGCAGCGTATGTCGACGAATATTTCAGCAAGTTTTCATGCATTTTGAAGACTGAGAAAGTATGGGAAACTCATTCCACTTTAACTAGCTTTTTGGAAGCACCGTCAGTTCGGACAATAATTTTTTTTATCTAAAACTAAAAGGGCCAGATACAAATTTTTTTTTACTAATAGATAGCTAGAAGCGTCTAGATTCTGAATACATACTTTTTATAAGAGCCTATAATCCAATTATCCTATCGACCATATACTGTGGTCGCTTTCTAAAATCTCATTTTAACACAAACAAATATAGTATATAATGAAAGGAGTATGGCAGGGTGTTTTTAAACTGAAAGATGGTAAAACGTAACTTTTCTCTTTTCATCTTCATGGCTTTTCTTCCGCTCAGTGTAAATCATAGGATTTCCAGTCATATATTTACCTACATATCATGATAACACAAACATCATATCTTGAATGCTGCAAACAATTAGATTCAAGAATAAAATGAAAATAATCGTATAAGTAACATACGCTCAAGCGTAGAAAGAGAAACAAACTAATAAACTCTGCTGCTCTTTTAGACAAACATTTGAAAAATTTGGAAAATAAATTTGAATATGATCTTATGTATAAAGGTATCAATCGGCAACACTTTAATTTAATACCTGATTTAATACATCGTGCTATCATCTACTGTCATTGTTATGAACTACAATTACCATTGTATGAGTCATCGCTGGATTTATTAGAAATAATAAAACAGCATACAGTTATATCTCTATCAACATCTACTGGTAGTGGTAAATCAACATTAATACCAGCATTATTAGCTGCCGACGGTTATCAAAAAATCTATATTACACAACCAAGACGTTTACCATGCAATTTACTATCCCAACATGTCAATAAGAAAATATCTGACATAAGTGGTTGGTCTGTTGCCGGTTCCTCATACAAAATCAAGCGACCAATTACATATTTAACTGATGGTCTCTTACGTGAATATTTACAATCGGATGAATTGGTAATACAGCGACAAATTCAGAATAATAATAAATCGATAATCTTTTTTATTGATGAAGTACATGAACGTTCAGTTAACATTGATTTATGTTTAGCTTTATTAGCACGACAATTATCATTATATCCGCAAATTCATTCTAGAATAAAAATTATTTTATCATCAGCCACCTTAGATCCATCAATAGCAGGTCTATTTTCAAAAAATAAAAATAATTACAAGTTTTATGAATTTAAAGCAAAAGCGGCAACAACAACATTGCATTCAATAACCGAACATGAAAATCAAACCGATGAAAACATATTTAATTTGATAAGTAATTTAAATGGTGCTATGAATAGTCAAATATTATGTTTTGTTAAATCAACATACGATGTCGTACAATCAATTAAATTATTATCAACATTAAAAAATTTAAAATCATATCCGTTGATACAATCACAATCAGCTAAAGAACAACAAATAATAATTAATAGTCATAGTATATTTTTTTCAACAACAGTAGCTGAAACATCATTAACATTTCCATCATTAAAATATGTTATTGATACAGGTATTATTAATATGCCTGTTTATGATCTTGAAACTGATACAACAATATTAAAAGAATCACCAGCAGCACGTTCAACAATCAAACAACGTAAAGGACGTGTTGGTCGTACACAAAATGGTGAATATTATGCATTGTATAATTCAAATACAATCATCAGAGATTATCCTATACCGCAAATATGTCAAACAGAATTAAGTCATATTGACTTTTCATTGAGACGTTCATCATTGAAACAGGGTTTAAATTATTTACAGCAATGGTTACCTAATCCACCTGAACAACAATCAATCGATCAAGCGATCAAACATTTACAAAAATTAAACTTATTAGACATAAAACAGAATTTAACTGATATTGGTCTCAAATTAACTAAGCTACCTGATTTTGGTAGTTTATCTATGTCAAAATCGGTATTAGCTGCTATAGAACAATACAATTGTGGACAAGATCTGATACGTATAGCTGCCATCTTAAGTGTTTTAAATACATCATCAATTCTGAAAAAGATTTCTCCTCAATATAAATCTATTCATGGTGATTTTATGACATTGTTGAATATAATGAATGCAATAATAGAAAAAAAGCGAAATCTACCACCAAATCAATTTCAAGATAATACGGAAATGATCTGTGCACAACTTGATCTATCATCCATAGCACATATATTGAAACGTGCGCTTGCTCGTTATACATTATTTGAACAATTTTTTCAATTATCAAATGTCTATTATCATCGATCACAAATGCGTTCAAATCAATGGGAATTGATTGCAAAAGCATTATTAACTGGTTTCTCAGATAATATTTATCTATCGATGAAAGAATTACAAGGAAAAGCACATCATTTTACATGTTATAACGTACAAACAAGCGACAAGGAAAAATTTGGCATGATCGATTTAGCATCAACACTATCACGACCAATAAGTGTAACACCAGTATCATTAATCATTGCACGCGATATAAGATATTCATCGGCTGTTCGTTCAATGGTCATATTATCATTTCTAGGTGAAATTCAATCTCAATGGCTTATGAATCAATTACAACGTGAAATCTTGATCACTGACAATGAGAAAAATCGATTCGCTAATGGATTATTAGCTCAGCTGAAAAACCAATATACAATGGTACATATACAAATTCATAATCAATCATTAATATTAAAAGGTCTAGCTAGTCAAGTATTACCATTAGAATTACATATATTGAAACAATTGTTAATTAAAGAAACATTTGATTTAATACCGGATAATGAAAAAAATGAAAATCTTCTGCGTCATATTAAACATTTAAGTACGGCAATCCATATATTTCATCCATTGAAATGGCGTTGGTTAGCTGAAAAACAAGTTGAAATAACAATGAGAAACAATCGACATAATATTGAAATTGTTATTAATGGCCGTGATGCTAATAACAAAGCGGTTAAAGAAGAATTTCAATCATTTATTGGTTGGTTAAAAGAATCTGTTGCCGTACATTTAAATACAGGTGTAAAACCATCAATGTTAGAAGCTACTAACAATCAAACAACAGAAATAAAAGCTCGTATTGAAGCTGTAACTGATAGTAAATTAGAATATATACATTTATTACCACGTTTAAAAGGGCCAAATGCAACTCGAGAATCTCGAATGGAAGTTGTTGCATGGTTAGCCATATGTAAATTTGATTGTAAATTAGAAGGTGGTTTTGTACGTGATTGGATTGTTGGTAATTATAGTTTTCATCCTAAAACACCGCCGTCATCATGGCTTACGTATCCAGCGATAGCTAGCAACAATAAGATACCAATATTAGACAAATCAATTGTTCCATCCGATCTCGACTGTCATTTACCTAGGAAACGTTATTTTGATATAGAAAAATTTTTAGATTTATTATTTAAATTTGAAATCGAAACGAAAGTCTATCGACAAGACTGGCGTTACATACTACTATTTGATGAAAATTCTAAAACAGGTCCATTTACAATGGATCTTATTGAACCCCATGTTGTATTGACTCACGATCGTATTGATTTTGATGTTAATAATTTATATGTTAAATGTGATTATACAAAAGAATTAGGTCAACGTATTAACCTTGAACAATTGAATTGTTCACTAGAATCCATTGTTGAAAATATTCATAAAAAACAATTCCAGTTATTAAAACACGACGATTATACAATAACAACTCGTATGCAAAAAATGACGGAGCGTGGTTGGACAAAAATTGGTGAATTAAATGCGTTTATGCCTAATCCAACAGCTGGTTATAAATATGTTTTAAAACAATTACCTATAAACTCAACATTGTATAAAACAATTGTTCAAAATATTGAAACAAAAATAACAAATGCCAAAGTCACATCAGTTGAAGAAATAAATAATCCTAATTTATCATCAGCATATGCAGCAATGAAAAAATTAATTGCGGAAGACTGTCCAGGTAATAATCCAAATGAACAACAATTGTATCATGGTACAAAATTAGAAAATGCTGAAAATATACTTCAACGAGGTTTTGATGATCGACATTTTAGTTCTGGTGGCCTTTTTGGTAAGAAATATTTAATATATCTATCTGTTAATAAGTCCCGTTTGATTATGATAAACGACTCAACTGAAAATAACATTATAGCAGAGCATCCTTGTAAACTTAATTCATGATAAAAAGTTCAGACTTACAGTTTGTTTCTTTGGCATATTGGGCACGTTTCTATAGATCAGGCGTACATGTGGTTTTTTGATTCAGAAAGAGATTATTTTTGCACAGTAGTACTTTATTATGTTTCAAATGTTATTATAAATTAACTCAGAAAAAACTTTTTTGAACGAAAAATCCCTGAGGAAAAAATCCTTACCTAAATTTTTGTTGAGAAACTTTGTATTCAGAAAATGAGCAAGTTCTACGTCACTCAATGCAGTGTTATACGTCGATTTCAAATATCACATTATTTCTGTATACAAATGTTCCAGGACTGAGAAAACCGCATTTTACCTAAAAAAACAAGGTTTTCTGAAAGACCAATAACTCAGACGATATGGGCGTTTTTGGATATTCACTGTGGATAGAGCACACTTCAATGAACATTTCAATATGATTTTGAGTCTGATTAGGAGCCCGCTAGCTCTCGCGCTCTGACTGCGTCAAACACATCTTTTGAAAAATCGGTTTTGTTTCGGGAAAACCTCTAGCAATTGAGTTTAATCGATTTCCGCAATTTTTCACATATGTCATTGGACGTATCATATATAAGTGACTCTATGATAAAAGAAACAATTTTTTTCTCATCAATTTAGAATTGAGCCGAAATAAATTTTTGACCATTAGATAGCTCAAACATTGGAGATCTTCTTCTGATGGTTTTTGAATGAAACAATTGCTTGACGTAGCTGAAAAGTTGTATTTTTGGAATCGGGCGATTTTTGAGCAACGTTTCATAGCATGAGTTTGCCAGTGTTCCTTTTTAGATAAAAATGTGTCCTTCTTTTAAAAGATAGAACACATATTGATGTATTTATTCCATTGTTCAAATTTTGAAAAAAGACACTTTCGTCAAATGTCCGCCTGAGTGCCCTCTGTGTTTTGTGTATGTATTACACCTGTCACTCTATTAAGAATTGTTCAACGAGTGCATCGACCATCGATCACAACGGGGTCATACTCGTGGCAAACTATCTAAGAAGAATCTTCTACTTATTTCACATATCATTTATGATTTTTTTGATTTGAGGACGTTCGGTTGCTGAGTTATAAAATTCAATTTTTTGTTCCCGCTTACGAGGAAACCATCCCCTGTGATTAAAGCTTTCATGATTAAACCTAGTTTTTCTGGTAATTTTGGATGCTGATTAAGAACCCGATGTCTGTTGGTGCCCTTATTAATTTCCTAGATGGGTCTTTGAAAATGTGGCCTCTAGAGATCCACCATGAATCGGCCAATCAAGACATTCTGATCTGGCCAGTTTGTAGAGCACATCAAGTTACCTACGTTGATATATTTTTAGAACTACCGAACAAGTTTTAATTGAACTATCAAAACTTTTCAAGTACAATGAAATACTTGAACTTTACAACTGCTTTTATTGTGCAGTTTTACAAGTACAAGCATTTCCTTGTACTTGAAAAGTTTTGATAGTTCAATTAAAACTTGTTCGGTAGTTCTAAAAGTAGACCAATGTAGGTAACTTGATGTGCTGTACAAACTGGCCAGATTTCCAAAGATTCAGCCAGGAACTCAATAAGAGCACCAACGGACATCGGATTCTTAATCGGGATCCAGTTCTTACATGGGAGCCAGTGCACGATAGGGACGAACAAAGTTGCTCAATAAACCATCACAGATTTTTCTCAGATTATCAGAGCAGATAGAGAAATGTGTCCTGAACATTTTTGTCTCTTGATATTTTTTCCAAAATGCTTTCCCTTGTCGCTAGAGCGCTTGCAAAAAAGGTCGTAAAATACGGAAAAAAAGCGATTTGCCAGTCGAAAATTTTGCTTATGCTATAACTCTGTCAGATCAAATGCTAATGACCTTAAATTTTTACCAGAGCTGTCTTGCTATGAGTACTACCTAAGATACAAATTTGAACTTGTTTGAGTTAAGTGTTTCCCAGAAATAGTTTATTCTTTAGACATAGACAAAACGTCATCGGCCATTTTTCAAAGAGGTTTTTTGCAACTGAAGATGGTCCATTTGAAGGGTTCTCTACGGTTTCATGAAGTAAGCCCAAAGTACTACCATGAACGGCCGTCGAACTTTTGCGGAAATGACAGAAAACACTCGGAAGCCTCTTGTCAAAAACGTCCACATCACCTCGGAAAAACCTGAAAATTTTTCTTTTAAAATCCGTTGAATTATACACCATTCGATGCAGATTTTCGTTCTACATCTGAATATGTATAAATGAAGGTTCCACAGTGCATAGAAAAGGAGAAAAACGCTAAAAACTTCGGATTTTCCAGGGTTTAGAAAAGTTTTGCGGAAAATATTTTTCCCAAGCTGTCTCGAAATTTAGCCACTTCCATCAACTAAACAATTTTTCTGATTTAACAGCTCGATGTAGAATTGAATTATCTATCGATCTCCGCAAACCGCCGATTTTTAGCATTAAATTTTGATTTTTCAGAGATATTTTTCCGAAGCCCTCGATATTTCGCCTTTGCAAACTTTTCGGAAAACAAAAAGACATAGACTAGAAAGAGAATTTTTATGCGCATTTTGAATATGAACTTTGTTTTGAAATAGTCCATGTCTTTTTGTTTTCCGAAAAGTTTGCCTTGAAAAAATAACCTTGAATTCCATGTTTATTTTTTCTGTTGCAAGTCATTCTTATGTCTGAACTTTTATTATGTACCATGGTAAGTTATATTACCAAAATAAAAAGAAAGAAGAAAGAAAAGTACATGTTCAGTCGCACCATTGGAACTCCAGTGACCATGAAATTTTTACCGGAAACACATCTCAATATGTTCTCTCTATTACATTGATAAAATCCATAAATATCTCAACCTCGAAAATCTGGCTTTTAGAGATTTCCAGAAAATCAAGATTTTTCGACAGTGTATTTTAGAATTAGTTTATCACATAAAAGATCTCGTGAAACGGAGCTTCAATAGGGATCTTTGAAACTGCACCAGTGGTTTATTGCCTGCATCAAAAGCTTCTGATTGATGTATGATTTTCTCTGGAAACCCTAAAAAGCTATCTAAATGAATATCTCAAAGTGTTCTTGACTGATTCTGGTAATTTTTTGCACCGTTCGACCTGCTTGGTTCTCCGTTAATACTAAACCAAAGTTTTGGAAACGTATGCAGTTTTATTCCGGACATTTTACACTATATATACTGCTAACATGTCTTTTCTATCTTATTCCCTTACGTTCCCTCGTTAGTAAAGGAAACACTTTGTTTTTTGGTTCTTTTTGCCTTCTTTCTTAGTGGCTCCTTTATGTACTTTTTCTTAATTAACATTTTTCTTCGTTTAAGGTGGCGAAAGATTCGCTGGAATTTGTGGTCCTCAAATAGTGATAAACCGTGTCCCACCCCTGCAGCTGAGTTAGCAAGCAGTTACTCACTTAGTTTTTTGCTTGAAGTTATACAGAATCCTGTAATCTATCCATTAAAAGCCGCAATCCCAAGGAAGAAACAACCTCCTAAAATGGTGCACACACTTATAAGTGACAGTCACTTTAAGTGTCACAGTTATTCTCCGGTTTTGAACAAGATTTAAGCAGTAGTGATTGCCAATTCTTCCTCGTTGGGGGTAAGAAAAGCAATAGATTTTGCTTTTTGCCCAAAAGTTACATAGTATTCAATTTTTATGATACTTTATAAAAGGAAGTCTAAAAGTGTATGAGATCTTTTTTCTCGTACACTTTTTAATGCACATGCATATGGTAGAGCTATTAGGCCGGAAGCTAATACCTAACTAATATTCTTCCTCGATAATTGCTCTTGTTCAACTTTGAACGTTGGACTTTGTTTCAACTATTTCATTCTTTTCAAGTAAAATTATCAGAATTATGAATAAAAAGAAAAGAGAGAAAGCAGACGATAGAATAAGATAGAGGCTTTACTCGATGACGTTATTTGAGTGAGCAGCACACAGTGGGAAGCTTAAGCGGGCGGACATGAGTTTTTTTTGCTCAGAAAGGGCTTTCATTTGACTAGAAATGACAGCTTACCACTCAGAAAATCGCTTTTAAGAAAATAAAAGGATTTTTCAAGAAAAAAAGTTTTTCGAAAAAATATGACTGGGGGGAACCCCAGTCTTTTTTTCAAAAACTTTTGTTTTGAAAAATACGTTGAGCTACATATCATTCGATGTAGTTTAATGCGCTGGTTCCGAATATCACCTTAATTTTTCGTCAACGTGTAATGTGAGCGCTTAAAACTGGACTTTCGGTCAAAAATCTGTGATTTGGGGAAAACCTCTAACATTCACTTTCCCGAAAATGACACTTTTTATATGTAGCACCTAGGAAAGATTTCATGAGTTTTTGCATCTACTATACGTAGGATGCATATGTAGGACCATGGAGTAAAAATGCGCGCTCCTTTGTAGCGTTTGCAATTTACGGAACGGTGCGTTTTCAGTTAGGTTTTGGAGCTCAAAATCCTTTGTTTTCTACTCTGTTTTTAATTGGATTACGATAATTTTTTTTATCATAAAGTCCATAAGTGAACAAGTTTTTTGCGATATTGTTTGCTTCTGGAATATTGTGTGATATTGCCCAGCGGCTTGACTTTCTTCATTTATGACGATAATTGTTATCTTGTTGTTTATTGACGATAATTTGTTATCTTTTCAACCGTCAGACATAAAGTTTTTTTTCGGAAGATGCGCCATCAGATTCTCCTTCAAAATGTGTGCTAAGTGTTTTGTTCCAGAGCAAAAAAGTGAAAGACTGCGTGAAAAATACTAAGAAAGTTCGAGACCGCCAACTTTCTAGCTGCTACGCTAAAACGATGGTTTCTGGCAAAACTACTAACAGCAAAAGAATTCTTATGTAACTAGTTGTCCTGTGGAAGAATTCTAATTATAGCTATAGGATAGAGTTTCGCAAGCGCTACGAAATGACGAGCGGTAATTTTTTCATGTCTTAAAAAGTCAGATAATAAACTCATAAAACATCTTTTAGGGCCTGAATTCTTGACTTTAAAGGAAGATGCGGAATATGAAATGACACTTAATCACTTAAGTGACACTTCAGAACTTAAACACTTAACGCGACACTTAACTCGGAGATGCACACTTAAAGTGAGGTTTCTTGCCTTGCGCTATCCTCTAGACTCTTCCGGCTAGACTTTCCATCTTTGCGCTGGCGATAATTTATTAGCCAGATCTATTGTGGGGCACTTAATTGGCGCACCCCCATGCAAGCTTCTCCTGAACAAGGTACACGACTTAGAGGCTTGATTTTTTTACTTCGAGTATGGAATGACTAATCATTCAATATCTAAAGACTGGAAGGTTATTGATTACTTCGCAGGAGAGAAAATTCAAACATACATCAATGTGTTCCACTCCCAATCACATCTCTGAAATCGTAACAGTCAGATCACAAAGTCTCATACTTTTAGATTATACGTATTTTGACATCCTGAATCGAATGGCTGACTGGTTAGCCTCTAGTGTTAATATATTTCTGGTCACTTTCATTTTGGGGCATTTTTTCTTTAAAAACGGTACAAAAATCACCAGAATCACTCTCTTTCATTTCCATTCCCAGTGAAAATAATCATTGTTACTTATACAGTTTGACAAGATCTTTCATTTAGGTTTTTTAATAGATAATTATTAAACCAAAAGCGGTTTATTACTTTTGTTTTTATTGATATTTTGTAGGTCATGGTGCTTATTTTGCTGATGATCCAGCAAAATCACACGGTTACACGGGTTTAACGCCAACACGAGTTATGTTCTACAACAAAGTTATATTAGGTCGTCAATTTGTAAAAAATGAAGCGGATAACAGTTTAAATGCGGCACCGCCAGATCATCATTCAGTTCGAGGTTACAATGCACCCTATAGAGAATATATTGTATATCGATATGGACAATCCTTACCATATCTGAAAATTGTGTATGCAGTCTGAATAATAGCTTATATATATATATATAATTTACTAATACACAATAGGCAGTCAGATACACATTTGGAAAAAACGACAGTACAGTTTCTCAAGTTTTATGAGTACATAGTAAATTTCACAATTTTGGCTACCTTCTTCTATAAAATAATTTTTTATCTCATTTGCAGTTGTTGTTTTTTTGTATCTTTATTAATTCTTTTTCAATAATTTGCAGCCTGTGGAAAACTGCTGGCACCATATTGACGAGGAACAACAAAGTCTCACTAAGACCTACATGTGGGCACAATATGACGCCAAAACGATGCGACATCTGGGAATGTTCCTTCGTGAATCCTTTTTGTTCTTAATTAATGGATCGTAGCGCTCCTAGTTACTAATCCGTTACATCTATTTGATAATCTTATTGCATTGACCAATAACGTTATTGTTAGATGAACATAGTTTCCATAAAACAGTGCACTTAGTTCAAACAGCTATTTACTTACTTCTTCTCGGTTTGCCATCTCAACTTTTACAATGTTTAGATGTTGTTGTTTTAACTCAATTAAAAATAAGTGATACAATTTTTAAATTTGTGAGAAAAAAATGTACATAAACCCGTTAATAGGGATCGTAATCCTACTTTACTAACAAACTTATTTAAAAAAACACAGAATTACAACACATGAAATTTTGTAAATAAAAATTCATTCAACAAACAATGAGCCATATTCATACCCTGTTGAGGGGGCTGTATGTTGCTTGAAAGCTGATCGTATGTCTGCGTGTATTCTATAGACCGAGCGCAAGAAAACAGTGCCTGTATGTAGGTACCTCATCAGGATGTGAATATGACTCATTAACTATACTAATACCAAGATCCTGTATTTCTTTTTGCTACACAAATATAGATTTTCTTAGAGAAAAGAGACTTACAAATACAATCAGAACCGGTCCGACAACAATGTGGTACTATTTACAGAATCTATTTCGATCAACTTCTTCGTTAGACAAAGTCTACCGAGAACATAATTTGCCAGGATCCCATGCATGTCCTTAACTTTTGTGCAGTTAACTGTGCTTAAAATGTTTCTCCGACTTTTCTTGCTCAACAGTAATCTCATCATGAGTTTGTTCTACAAAAACATGCCATTTATCATTATGAAACAGGTGGCGCTTTTATGTATTTTTCAAGCAGCAGACGATTAAAAAGTTCATGGGGTACTCAAATGCAAATGATCCGACGAGAGAAGGCTCCCACCTAATCAGTCGTTTCTTCCTTGAAACATACATGGTTATAGGTAAAACATGACACAGTGCAGTTTAGACACCACCATTTAAGTGCAGCAGTACCTTGTTGTATGTCTCATGAAAAATGCTGGGTTCAGCACATAGTGTCATGGAAAGTAATATCTTTATTTATTTTTATGATATAATAATTTTGTTTGACATAGTGCGACTTTTGCAAAATGTGCGTCATATTTTCTCCAGTTTCTTTACGTCTACGAGAGAAAAAAGAGAAATAAATCATTAAACGTTGGTTTTTTCCAACTGGTTTTTATTTGTCAAAAAATATCAGCATTCAATCTAATACAAATACTAGAGAAATGAGACAAGTACTCTTACAAAAGAAAGGAGACGACCAGAGGCATGCTAAAAAAGGAAGTTGATGCTTTACTCAATTACATATGGTATTGTTCTTTGATAGCCGAAACCTAGTTCCTTTTGAAGTACCTTCTTGTAAAAATATTTATCTGATTTCTACGGTATTTATATTAGACTGAATGGTGATATTTGACAAATAATAACAAGTTGGAAAAAACCAACTTCTAATAATTTATTTTTCTCCTTTTTCTCACACAAGTGAAGAAACAGCAGATATTTTACAAAGGTCATGCAATTTCAAACTAAATTGTTAGTAGAAAATTATGTTGTTGATGCTGTATCGAGTTGCTTACTGTGCCAAAGAAAATGGCAAAAAAATACCGAAAATCAAGTCAGATGTACATTTTTATCAGAGAAATCGTTTTTATATGGTAGAACATCCACACCACAAAAGGGAAATCTATATCTATATCAATGAAAGCCTATCGATTATGATGTATGTCACTAAACTCTGAATAGCGACTGCGTAGGAATAAGTTTCGAAGTGACTTTCACTTTCTACTGTATGGGTCGAGGCAACATAGTTGTAAAGTGAGTCTTACATTTCTTCACCTCAGTCGCTAGAAGTATGAGTAATAGTTCGTGTACTCGACGTAGCTGTTACAGTAGCTTCTTGGCGTCGTTTCAACTCCTGCATAATCATATAATGTTGAATATGCATGGGTAGTCCCGGATTAAAGGTGAGCGCATAGGGCAAAATCATTTTTGGTAAATCGTCGAAATCGGCAATTATTTTGATGAACATTGTGTCATCTCTCACATAATTGTTGCAGGCCTGTTGAATCATCGAGATGGGAAAGAATTTCGGAATGCCTGAGGCCATGTTCATTTCTGAGTGAGGTCGTTGAAATGAATTCGATTCGATATCGGGACAGAAGGAGTCGATGACGTGGCGACCTTCTCCTGATTGATCGTAGAGACAAAAAGTGACTTTGTGGTTGAATGGCCACTTCAGGATAGCATCGTAATTTCCTCTAACAATGACGAAAAATAAGGACATGTGGGTTCGTCTTGCATTCCCATCGCCGTACAAGTAGAGTCTAGCTCTCATTTTATATCCAGTTGGTGACGAGTAAAATGGGAGTGAATAAATCGACATTTGTCTCTCGGTTTGGGCATCTGCTATTTTATCCGAAACTTGTGTCACTTTCCAGATGAGAGTACCATCATACGAAACAGTTTCCATGTCCTGAAGTTTTTGCTTTACACTCGATAGTTCTTCTTGAAGGATTTCCTCATTCGGTCCTAGTCCAGCCACTAAAATATCTTTTGCTTCAACACTTTTCTTGAGTCCGATAAGCTGTTGGTGCATTGCTTGAAGCAGGCTGTTGGTCTGAACTGATTCGGCACTCAGTCGAACAGCATCATTCTGTAATACCTCGACTGCTTGTGTCAGAATGGTTAGTGTATCGTAGGATCTATTCAGCTCCCCGTACAAATTCGTTTGAGTTGTAGTGGTGATTGAAGAGAGAAGTGGTGCATAATCTAATTCTGTCTGATCTCGTTCAGAAAGTGATGCGCTACCAGACGTATTGTTACCCACGGCGGCTTGTCCAGCTAATTTTCTCGTGCTCGTCAAGTATTGCAACTTTTCAACAATCACAAGTAGACTTCTTTGATGCTGTTCACTTGTCAAATGAATTGTGCCCTCTTCCCTTTTTACCTGCGCATATTTAGAGAATATTGAAGTCCGATTATGAATTATGTAGTACTTACGCTCTGACTACAGCCGCAGGTCGCTAGTGGACATTGTACTGGTACTTTGGAACAACTAGACTTTTTATGTTCACCTAGTTGACTCTGTGAATGAAACTTTTGACTGCAATGTTGACAAGTGTTAACGGCATGGATCGCATTGAGGTGTGCCTGAACGATATATTATGGTACACAGCAAGGTTTAGAAATTGTTATGTGTACCTGATAATCATTGAGTACACCAAACCAGCTACATCCATTTTCTTTCTCTTTACAAACAACATGAAGTTGGGCTGTTTCTCGAGAGAATCCACGATTGATAATGAGCTGAAGAGGAAACACTTTCAAAACTTTGAGCCATCAGAGGTTAAAAACATACGTCGCTCTGGGTAAATGATTCTGAACAGGAAGGACATTTCGGATATTCATTCAAACTAGAGTCAAAAACGACGAAGATTAACTTAGAGACAGCGTCTGAGGCAAAGCATACTGAAGTTTTCGTTGTAAACATGGGTGACATGCTCTACAACCACATCCTCTGAGTTGGACTGGATTTTGAATCACCAGTTTACAGTCGGGACAGATGTATTTTACATCAACAGAATCTTTGTTCCACACAACATCGCCAAGGTCATCCATTCATAGAAAACTGAAGATTATATGTCGTTTTAACAACCTCTTTACAGCTTTGCTTAGTGACTTACCAAATAGACGACAGCTATGCTTCCATATTCAATTAAAATTTTTGGAATGTTATCAGAGAACAGGGGGTGCGAATCTTCCCCCCCCCTCCAAAAATAAAGACAAATCGATTTTTCTTCCGTTCTCTGAAAACAAATATCCTTGTCTTGATGGAGCACCCACACCGCCTAAAAGTTTGACTGGTTGCGACAGCTCTGCATCTGACAATCTATTTACGTACACATTTTTGCTAAACATTACACTGTAATACTGAAATGTCTCGCAAATATATTGGTTAGCAGTTTCTCCAATTTATACTAAAGACAATATCTCATCAGCTTTATCAAAGGATTAGTAACACGCCAAAGTTCCAGCCTTTCTCTGTCTATTTTCATTCTCTTTTTTTGTTCAATACATGAAGCTGGACATTTGCTGGAAAACTAGTATAAGTTAGATGGAGCATAAAGACAGTTTATGCACTCAAATGTATTGTGGGATCTAAAGCATGTTTATCTTAGCAGGAGCTTAATTAGAGTTTTTCTCGTGATCTAATCGATGATTTCATCATAAAAAAATTTAGTTTTCGTAGCCGAGATTTTTTACCTGACTGTCTTAAAAATTTGTCAGCCGGGATCGAAAGAATATTATTTTCGTAACCTTTTAAATTCACGCCCTAATAAAAGGAACTTTTAATCAATAGACCCGAATAGCCGACTATTCCGTGAACTACTTTTCCACGAACATTTTCAGCGAACCAACTCTTCCGAGAATAGCTAATAACGTATTCTTTTCGCTTTTTCTTTGGATACAAGAAAAACTTATATGTAATTCATAATCTCTAATAAAAACTGGATCGAAATTATTATGTGTACACAGCTGAGTCGCTGCTGTCTTGATTGTATGTCTTATATACCTACAGTGACTTCTTACGTGACATGACTCGTCCGCGAACAGGATCCCGACACTTCCGCGAGTTTTTGTAAATAGATGTTAACCCTTTCAGGACGGGATTATTTTTCGTGAAAAAAATATATAAAATACTACAACATAAACATACAAAATACTTTTTTAAAATACTACGTCTCTCTGCTCAAAACAGTCAGTGGCCACTATAGTGGCTGCCCGTTCCGAAAGGGTTAAGCAAACTAACAAAACGATGGTTTTTACTGCAAACAGTCGCTAAAAACATTTTAAAATAGCTTCAACTTAAAATACTGACATACCAGATCAATACCAGAAAAACTGAAACACCATGCGATGCAAATATCTTTAATGTGAAACTACTTTTCGAACTCACCCTCACACTGCCCTCTCCCCCCAACTTCACCGCCTGAAATACCTAAATTTGTTTTAAAAAAAATGCGCGGAAGAGTCGTTGGCAGAAAATGTTCGCGGATTAGTGGTGTCACGAAAACACCAGACTGAAATAGTGCTTTTAGTTCTTTCCTATCTTTCGTGGGTTTCGATCATTCGTATATGACACATTTATTGCTGTACGTAGAGAAAAAGAAGAGAACGAAAAAATTTATGCGTGGAAGAACAGAAATATGTCACATGGAAACAATGATGATCTTGATGGTGTGAAAACAAATTTGCTCTGTCAAGCGATCGTCGTTATTTCCATGTGACGTATTTCTGTTATACCGCGCATAAATTTTTTCGTTCTGTTCTTTTCCTCTACGTACAGCAATAAATGCGTCATATACGAATGATCGGAACGAATGAAAGATGCGAAACACATGAAAGCACTATGTAACCTGGTCTAGCTTCTTCACTTCCTGTGTTATTTTACGTCTTTCTTTTCTAATAAAAGCGGAAACTGAATATTTACATATACTCGTGGGTAAACCTTGATTCAACTTCACAAAAAAATATTACTCACAGATTTTTTGCTTCGCCTCCGTAAATATCATCAATCAGCACCTTAAACTAACTTTCTTTTCTATGACAACATATCGAAAAGTAACCATAGTCAAAACAGTCATTTTACTTCTGGTGTGCATTCTCCTTTCTTTATTCTTTATTCTAGCTATGCCATAAACCAAAAACTTTTTAAAAGAAAAAAAAAGCACACAATGGAACCGCCTCAAGCGGCAAATCACTTTTTCGATGAAACTACGCAAGATATGAGCAAGCAAAATAATTCCATCCCTCAATAATTGTATTTTATCTTCGCGACGCTGTGACACACGTTTTTCCCAACAAAGTTTGGAGCACTAAACATTGCTCAAAGGATTTCATTTTCACATTGGACTTTGTTTAGGCATCAAATATAGACTAGCATGAAAATAAAGCCGAAAAAATGTTTTCACTTAAGTCTTAGAATTGTGTGAGAATCTTAAAACTTAAAACTTTATTAAAAAGCTTGTTTTAAGTCTAAACTTCAAAAGAAACATAACATCTTGTAGAGAATCGAATTCTCTATCGATTAGTGTGACCTCCAATTATTATTAGGGAGAGTGTCTAGGTAAGAAAATTGAAAATACAGTTTTCAAAAATGTAAAACTGGATTTTTGGTGCCAAAATTTAACTTTTTTAAAAAATATTATGAGATTCGTAATCAGCATCAAAAACTGCATCTAGTGATATGCTCCTTTCAGTTCTTCTAAAATAATTTTTTGAAAAACTTGGACTGCGAAGTCTCGAGTTATGTTGACAAGCCTTGCAACTATTATTATCGCAATCGGCACATCGATTACTCATACCTCGCTTAATTTCATCGAAAAAGCAATTTGCAACTTGAGGCGGTTCCGTTGTCAGTTCAAATAATGCTTTCCGAGATAAGATTAACTTTAGTTCCTTTTTCCATTTGAGAAAGCTATTTTGTAACTATTCGAAAGCATCACGTATGAATCTGTTCTACCAATAACAAAAGTAAGGATATTACTTTCTCTTAAATAGTTTAACTTATGCAATACGTATCTTCAGATATCTATAGCATTGATTACAAGGTTCTATGATCTCACCTATATTTCTCGGTTAAGTTTTGATAGTCAAACATAGTGTGAAACCCATAATAAAATAAAATGCTGTCTTTATGGCCTGCGTCAATAAACCTGAGATAAATGGTATACAAATTGAAAAAAGTTGGTTTAAACTTTATATACTAGTCATTGACATACATCAAGTACCAACTGTATTGGCATCAAGAGATGGATCATTCAACAGTATGATGCTCAACGTTAACTGATCGTCGTTAGTAGATGATTTCTCTCAGAAGTATATACACTGCAATCGTAAAAATAGTGATGAATAATTTCATTGCCTAGTCTGCAGAAACAAGATAAAGATAAGACACATTTTCTTCTAAAAAGATAAAAGTTTAATTGGGAAAAACCTGTTTTAAAATGCATAAAAGTAATCTCAAGAAAAGACAGGAAATTTTCAAAGCTCGTGGAAAAAATAAGTCATGATTATTTAAGGATCTATCTGCTAAACACTTACGTAGTAACTTTGACTTTAGTATACGTGGGAAGGTGAATATTTTCCAACTTCTTCTCATTCCTGGGATTCAATAGTGAAAAACGAAAAAAACATATTTTCATCGTGATATGCAGATGTGTTTACTAGTTTTCCAATGACTGATTAGCGATTGTAAAATTAAACTAAATTAAAATTGTGTTTAGCAGAGTTTCATATTTCGTATATACGAATACGACCATGCGGCTTCCGCATAGCCCTTCGAAGACCTGGTTTTCTAGAAAACGAGTTTTTCAGAAACCCCAAAAAATAACCCGAACCGTTCTTAATGAGGCATGATTG